CATGGTATCTGTTAGTTTCACCTCCGTGTTTTGCCAATCCATTTTTTTTTCCTAAAGATTCAAGGATTTGGAAAGGCTTATTTCTTATCTTTAAAAGCAGGATCAAGAATTATTTGCTGATGGGATATGTAGAGAGTGTGGGAAGTCTAGAGAATTGTTCCTCCTCGCCACTGTATGGTCAAAAAAAAAAAAAAAACCAAAAAACAAAACTGGCCCAGGTCACAGGCAACTTGTATACCTCCCTAGTTAAAATGTCCCAGTGCACGGCACCAGCATCCTATATAGGCACAGGTTCAAGTACCCCCTGCTACAGTTCAATCCTGCTACCTGTGAACGTGCAGAAGTGACCCAAATTCTTGGACCCCTCACCTGTTTCAGAGACATGGAAGAAGCTCCTGGCTTCAGACCAGCCGAGCTCCAGCTGTTGCAGCCATTTAGGGAGTGAACCAGCAGATGGGCAAATCTCCATCTCTCCACCTCTGTAATTCTGCCTTTCAAATAAATATATCTTTAAGAAGGTTGCAGTTCTAGCACAGTCCCAGCACTAAGGGTCATCTGATGTGATCTTCTCATACAGTTTACTCGTGGCCACAAAAACTCTGAAATACAGTTAACTCAGCCTTGGCATGTAATCACCAATCTCTTTCATAAATGAACAATTCCTATTCCTAGGCTCAGATTTAATAAATGCATGATAAAGGATTCTATATCTATCGATCGGGTTATTTAGGAATATGGCTTGAGGAACAAGAGGAAAAAAAAAATCTATCTTGTCAAAAAATACATTGTGTTGGCTCACCAGAATTTTGAACTTTCCTTTAACCTCTATACTGAAGAGAAACACATTCATCCCACACTTGCCGAGCTTCCTTTTATATCCCAGGTGGTAAGCATCTGGCTATTATGGCTTAACAACCATAACCATGCTCAAGCCCCATAACACCTCATGTAACTTTCTAATTATAACTGAGTATCCCACACAGATTTCCTAACACGAGAGAGAACCCAGTTCACTTGGTGGTTGACTGGACTTGTGTTGAGCACATTAACTTTCTGTGAATTTAACCGTATGTGACAAAACATGACTTATCTTTATGGATACTGATAAAACCATTGGGTACCCTGAACTCGAATCCATTCTCTTTTGAACTCTTAACCATCTTTTTAGAAATCTTTCTGATTATTATTTAAAATTTTTATTAACATATAATGCAGGCCCAGCACGGTGGCCTAGAGGCTAAAGGCCTTGCCTTGAATGTGCTGGGATCCCATATGGGCGCCGGTCCTAACTCCAGCAGCTCCACTTCACATCCAGCTCCCTACTTGTGGCCTGGGAAAGCAGTTGAGGATGGCCCAAAGCCTTGGGACCCTGCACCTGCATGGGAGACCTGGAGGAGGTTCCTGGCTTTGGAGCATCAGATCGGCGCAGCACTGGCCATTGCGGTCACTTGGGGAGTGAATCACCAGACAGATCTTCCTCTCTGTCTCTCCTCCTCTCTGTATATCTGACTTTGTAATAAAAATAAATTAATCTTAAAAAAAAAAACCAAACATAGTGCACTTGATGAGCACTTACCTTTTACATTTGAAGCCTGCTATCTGCCAGCACCTTTTTTCCTCTTTTTTTTTTTTTTTTTTTTTTTTTACAGCATCTGATTCATGGTTAGGAACTCAAGTCACCCGACAGTGCTATAGAACCCTTCTTGACCCTCCTCTAGTTTCAGAACACCAAGTTTGTCTTCCTCTTTACTGCCTCAGACACCTGCACTGGTGTTCTAGAACAGTGAACAGTCATAGCCACTGGAGGAGGACAGGCTGTCTGTTGTCTCTGAAGTGAGGATAGATGAAGACTGTCTGAGGAATTCTTTCAGAAGGATATGAAAATTTTGCAAGGGATCCACCCTCATAATGAAATCAACCTGAGGGGAGTTTCAAGGAGGTAAATTTCCAGATCTTCATCTTCCCTGTGCAATGTTTCCTAAAGCCAACCCGAGAGCTGGCGGCACATTCACGCGCTGACTAGTCTGCATCCTTTTTCACCATGGTCTTTCTCACATTTGAGCCATGGGCCATGGGTGAAAAAAATCTAGGGATTTGCAGGGAGGGCGTGTATTCTTCTTTCACATACAATATTACTATCAGTCAGTCCTCTTATTTCAACTTAAAAAATTGTTTACCAGGCCCAACATGATAGCCTAAAAGTCCTTGCCTTGAATGTGTTAGGATCCCATACGGGCACTGATTCATGTTCCAGCTGCTTCACTTCCCATCCAGCTCCCTGCTTGTGGCCTGGGAAAACAGCCCAAAGCCTTGGGACCCTGCACCCACATGGAAGACCGGGTGGAAGCTCCTGGGTTCAGATCAACTCAGCTCTGGCTGTTAAAGACACTTGGGGAGTGGACCAACAGATGGAAGATCTTTCCCTCAATCTCTCCTTCTCTCTAAATCTTTCCAATAAAAACAAATAAATCTTTTAAAAAATTGTTTATCATCGTCTATGTTTTTAATCTACAAATAATTTGTTAGTCATTGGACCCAAAAAGTTTAGAACCTAACAAAATTATTGGAGTTATTTTTGAAGTCTAGACATCATTTTAATTGTTCCCAAAAGTTAAAAATCAGAGTTTGGTGTGCAAGTAAGTACACACATTTACCATGGCAATAACATACCTTTTCCTCAAAATCATGGATTAGTGACATATTATTCAAAATATATGAGAAATAGCACTATCTTGTTTTTAGTATCTATTATAATATTAGAACTACATAATCTTTTTTTAAAGATTTATTTTTATTATTTTTTTTTTATTGGAAAGGCGGATATACAGAGAGGAGAGACAGAGAGGAAGATCTTCCATCCGATGATTCATTCCCCAAGTGAGCACAACGGCCGATGCTATGCCGATCCGAAGCCAGGAGCCTCTTCCGGGTCTCCCACGCGGGTGCAGGGTCCCAAGGCTTTGGGCCGTCCTCTGCTGCTTTCCCAGGCCACAGGCAGGGAGCTGGAAGGGAAGTGGGGCTGCCGGGATAGAACCGGCACCCATATGGGATCCCGGGCGTGCAAGGCGAGGACCTTAACCACTTGCGCCACCGCGCCAGGCCCAGAACTACATAATCTTATTCTTGACTAATTTTTAGTGATCTATTTTGTAAGAAACAGTGTTTTATTTCCCACTGATATTTTTTAAAGATTTATTTTATTTTATTGGAAAGTCAGATATACAGAGAGGAGGAGAGATAAAGAGGAAGAACTTCCATCCAATGATTCACTCCCCAGGTGGCCACAATGGCTGGAGCTGAGCAGATCCTAAGCCAGGAGCCAGGAGTCTCTTCCAAGTCTCCCACATGGATGCAGGGTCCCAATGCTTTGGACCATCCTCTGCTTTGTTCCCAGGCCACAGCAGGGAGCTGGATGTGAAGTGGAGTAGCCAGGACACGAATTGGCACCTGTATGGGATCCCAGCGCATGCAAGGAGAGGACTTTAACCACTGAGCTACTGTGGCAGGCTCCCAAATAATTTTTTAAATACCTTTAAAAAAATTACTTTACACAGACAATGTTTTCTCCAGAATTTTTACTGAATGTTTAATGCAAAATAGATTAGGGATTCGGATTTGCAGAAAATATAAGTACTGTTTTTTTTTTTCTTTTTTAAACTACGACAAAAGATGGTTTGGGGTAAGATTGGAGGGGACCAACTCATGTATCTATTGTTCTAGTTCCTAATGTACACTCACCTTGTGCTTAACAGAGGGCACATTCTTAGAAACTCTTCCTTTCGGTCCCTGTGCAAAACATCAGAGAATGTGTTTACACAACCTGAGCGACTGCTATGAGCCAAAATGTCCCCTTACCTCACGTCTAACAGAGTCATGCTACAAGACGGGTTACTTATGTTCTAAACATCTAACTTGTCAACCCCCTACAAAAGAACAGGAAAGCACCACAGTGGTCGGGCTCAGGGGTTTCCACGCAAAGATATATAGAACAGAATGACCCATAAACGGGCCAACAAGGGTCACTGTCTCCGAAACTGGCAGCCTGGGAACTCGGGTCCCAGTCCCCTCTCTGGAAACGCTGGAGCCAAGGGGATGTGCAAGGTTTTGTAAGAATCAAATTGTGGCGAGCCGAGAATGCTAAAGTAGTCTGAAAGGATGGGGGAGGGCGAGGGGAGGGGGGTTTCTCACCTCATCCCTCCAGGCACCCATTCCTCTAAGAAACGGTTGTTACTGGTTCTTCATCTAACTCCTTCTTCATTTAACAATTAAAAAAAAATCCCTTTTCATTTTTCCTCAGGTTCCTCACGTCCCCCGAAGTCGCGGCTGCTCCATGTTGGTAGGGGAGTGGCATGAGTGAGTAGGGGAACAGAGTTAAAGCGTTGGGACCTGGTCACCTCAGACAGCCGACACCGGGGAGTAACTGGATGGGGGACCAGAAGCCAGAGGGGGCTCACAGGGTAGGGGGTGGAGGTGACGGGAGAGAGACCCCAGAGGACCGTCAGGGTGCGCTCCATGAGGCGAGGCTCTGCAAGAATACCTGCAAATGCTTCCTTCAGGCCTCCAAGAGCAGTAGCAAGGTGCACGGCGAGGTGCAGTGGGTGCTGAGGGCGCGCCGTCAGGAGGAAGGAAGCCTGCAGTCACAGCCCCGAGCCCGGAGGAGCGTCGGCAGCCCCAGCGCGGACCGTGGCACTCGCGAACCGTGGCGTCCCTCACAACCTGCCCTGCTGCTGAAGCGCAGACGCCGGCGGGGAGCGCTCCGGGAGCGCGGGGAGCGGACCTCGCCGCCGCCGCAAGCCCCGTGAAGCAGGGACACGTAGCGACTCCGCATTGCCATAGCGACGGGCCGGGCCCGAGCCGCGCCCGCAGGCCCTGACCCGGGCGTGGTGACGTCACGACGCCGGCCTCGAGGGCCGTGCGTCAGCTCGGCCGGGGGCGGGACGGGGCTCCGAGGGGTCCGGTGCAGAGCCGGGCGGCCGGGGCTCCAGGGGCCCCGGAACCAGGATAAGTGGACATCCTCCGCGGCCACGGGGGTGAGGGTGGGGGGAGCGGCGCGGGGTGGAGCGTGCCCTGTTACTTTCTAGACGGGTTCCGGGGCCCGGTAGAGGCTCGCCGAGAGGAGAGGAAAAAGTGCGGCGGCCCTGGAACCTGGATACCGCGCGAGGCAAGCTGCGCGCGGGCGGGCGGGCTATGGCGCAGGCGGGTTGCGGGGCCGGCGCTGGTGGCGGGGCCCGGTGCATGGCGGTCTGTCGGCGGAGTCGCCCTCGGGGGCTGTCAGGTTGGTGGCTGCGGGAAAAGGGGGTCCGCCGTGTCCGAGGCGGGAGGCCGGGCGGGCGCAGGGCCCTGGGAAGGTCCCGAGCCCGTCTTGCCCACCCTCCTCCGGCCGCAGCTGGGCAGCTGGGCCGCTGGACGGTGGCCTGGGCCGCTGGACGGTGGCCTGACCCCTCCCCCACCCAGGGTCCCTGCCCCTCCATTCTGCCTTGCGACTCCTCCCCCAGGACTCCCAAACCCCACCCCGTGGCTGCGCCAGCCTCCACCTGCTGTGTCCCCCACCTGGCCACCCACTGACCCCAGGACCTTAAATCTCACTCCCTGACCGCCCACCCAGAAATTCGCTCAATACTTCTGGGATCCATCAACCCAGTGACCCTCAGGTGTAATCCACAGTGATTCACACACTCCTTCTCAGCGACCCCCTTCTCCCCCAAAACACTCTCTCAAAAACTTGGTGATGTCCCTCAGAACAACTGGGATAGTTTCCCGCCCATTTATCTTTTGGGTTACCCTAAATATCTGCCCCGTATAAGCCCGTGGTCCTCATTTCCTGGTCTCCCTCATCCTGAAGTCATTCTTGCTGGCATCTTCTGTGTGTCCTCAGCCCTCCAGTGTCAATCAGCACGTGACTTAACAAGCCACCCAGAAGTGCTGAGGAGGATATGGAGATGAATACTGAGAACAGATGGATGTATTGGAGACGTCTGGGTTGAGTGTGTGGTCCCGGGTTCAAGTCCCAGCTCTGCTACTCTTGTGCTTTGGGAACCTGAAAAAGTCCCTTACACACACACACACACACACACACACACACACACCTGAAAAAGTCCCTTACACACACACACACACACACACACACACACACACACACACACTCCCAGTTCCTCATTAACTTTGTGATGAGTTTGGGTTAGGCAATCCCAAGAGTTCCCTTCCAGCTGTGAAATCCTGCTGTTCTCAGTCCAGGTAATGTTGTAGATCGACTTTGTACGTTTCCCTGGAAGCTTCCTCTACAGAGAATTTACCTGAGTCGGCTTCATGGGTCTTTTTCCTGTGACCTTCTGTGCTCTTGATAGGCCATTTTCCTTGGCCAGGCCCTGTCAGTTGACACCTCTGTAAGGCAGTGTTGGAGAGTGGTTCAGCTGGGAGCGTTATGTGATAAGAAGTCTGGGTTCCAGGCTAACCCCGGCCCTTCATCTGCAGGACTTGAAGCTGCAACAGCAGCTGCGATTATTGAGAAATTCCCCCAGGGTCTTACCCTGTCCTGGGTGCTGGGAAGTCAACAGTGCCTTACGACCTCTTGCCCAGCCTCTTGACATCCGCATCCTAGTCTTAACTCTGCTATGGCCCCCTGCTTTTCTGTTTCTTTACCCCAACAATTCCTTAATAATGATTGATCTAGTGAGCACCTACTGTATTCCAAACTTGGCATATATGTTAAGTTTACCTCTCAGCCCAAGAAGAAGTTAGTATTATATTTACCACATTATTTTTTCACAGGGACTGGTATGAGAGTTTAAGTAAATGAGCCTGGAAGTCAAGATAACTGTTTATCACAGCTGGAATTTGAACTCACAGCTTCAAAACACCCACTTAACTCCATTGCCTTTCCCAACCTTGAATCTCCCCAATATTGTCAATCTCAGCCTCGTTTTTAGTGATTGCTAATCAGAACATCACCTCATCCCATGACCTTCAGTTTCCATTACCCTTTGGCCTGTGCCTTTGGGACTTTCTCATCCTTTTATTCATGACTCTTGATCTCTCAGACTCTTCCTCCTTATAGGAGAGGGAAAATAAAGGCTTGTGGCTGAGGTCCCTATAACAAAACACAGATAAAAAAGAGAAAGCCAGATTTATATAATATTCTATCACATATGACCCTTCGTTTGGGAAGGCCCAAAGAATCTGAAACCTGTGTGGTTTTATGCTAGATTTGAAGAATGGCTGTTTGTGGAGGATAACAGGGTGTGGTCTTAGGGTTATAAACTGGGTGCAACCTAGCAGAGCCTGTTCAGTGTCTCTCTGACCACCTCTCACAGCCTTAAGGCTTGCTGGTTAGGGACTGCTTCAGGGGAGAGGGTGGAGGAGATGAGAATCACCTTCCCGCTTGTCATTTTCTCAAAGTACCCTATTTGGGTTGGCTTGTCCTGAGCCTGACCAGCCTTACTGCCTCTCTTGATGTTTTGCTCAGATAACCTTTGCCTGTGTGTGTGAGTCCTTGGCATTCTGAGCCCTCCTCCCATGATGCTGCCACCCTGCCTTGCCTCCTACCTCACGGACCCTCTCCCCGATCCTCTGGTCCTGTTACCTCCAGGAACACATGTGTTCATACACTCTGACACCTGCAGCCCAGTAGTCTTTCCCCCTGTGATCCATTCCTGTTTTCATTGTCGGTGTTCTGTCCCCTCCTCCCTCCCACCTTCCTTAGCCACATCCTGTCACCTGAAACCTTCAGGTGATGAGACCTTCATCAGGTGACCTCCTGATGGGAAGCCCCTTCTATCCCAAGACAAACACATTCCTCATAACCCAGACACCCTCACGTTAAGGTTCTTCCTCTTCATACCCCTGGTGAAGAAGTATCCTGGGAGGTAAGACCTGTCCATCTCATGGCATCTTCCCTCAGATTCATCAGTGTCCACTGTTTCAAACTGCAGTTAAAATAGTCAGACCTTCCCCCTTCCTGTCCTCATGATGCCTTCTCCTTCCTGCCTCCCTAACCAGCTCTCCCCCACCGCACAGTCTTGATAACACATTGATCATCATGTACATCTCCCTCCCTTGCCAACTCTGCCCCTCTTACTCCACTCTCCCGTACATCTGATGCCATGGCCCCATCATCTGCCTTGCTACTCTCAACCCTCCTTCCTTCACACACACCATGTCCGCCAAATCTCATTGGCCCTTGGTTTGCCCGAAGAACTGCACTCTGAACACTTCTGATGGCTTCTAATAATAGATTACCAAGATTGCAGTCCTTTAAGTAGCAAGGAGAAGTGATCTAGCCATATCTCCTGGATACACTCCCACTATCCTGGCCTGTTTCTGAAACTGCTTGCTGTTTATGCCTTCAGAGTAGAGTGCTTTGTCAGCTGCCGTTACATTAGCCCCATTGTTTAGCAGACCCAGTGAGGACTTTCCAGCGGCCCCCTTCCTGCCCCTTGGAAGACTGAACCAGTGAGTAGTAAAAAAAAAAAAGTGATATTAAATATCCGCACCCAGAAGTGTTTTCTGTGGGCCACCAAATTCCCAGGTGTCCTATCATTTACTTATTGGTTGTACATACATCAATAAATATAGCAGAAGATGAAACTAAAGGAGGAGATATAGCCTAGGGTCTACTAATTCTGTGGGTAGCTTTGAAAAAGGAGATTGTTTTAAGGCACAGAACATACTCTGCTTGAATTTTAGTTGAGTTCTCTTTCCTCCCCCTCATTTCCTCCCCCTCCGCGTTTCATTCCTGTGACTTTTCGAGAGCAGAAGCTGGTTTTTCTTTATATTTCCTCCATTTTAATCAGCTCATCAGTGGCAATCAGTGAATACTTACCAGATCCAAGTAACCCACTCTGAAGTCCTGCATCAGATAAAAAAAAAACAGTTCACGTTCATGTTCATTTTGTAGAGACCAGGAGCCCTCTCTTCAAAGCCTTTCCCATGCATGATAATGAAAGAATCCCTTGGTTTAGATAGCCTGGGATTTAGATGCTTCTCTCTTCGTCATGGTTCTTGTTGGGGGCAATGGGTGTAAGTGCTTCTTAAACCATATTTCTGTAAAGACTCTGGAGTAGAGACATGGGTTAGCACAGTTGCTAGAATAAAGTGGTAGCAAGTTCAAGGTCTGTCTGGTTTAGATCTGTCCTCAAGAAAACAGCTAGAGGAAATCAGTGGACCTAGCAGAGATCAAAAACCAACTGGGCAAATGTTGGAAGTCAAGTAAATGGGTTCAAAAGTTCATTATGCTATTTATTCTCCTTTGTGTCTGTTGGAAATCTAGAACAACAGCAACAGCAGCAAAAAAAAAAAAAAGTTTAAGATGGCTCCCACATTTTTGGCCTGAGCGTAGTGAGGATGAAATTGCCATTGACTTAAGTGGGGGAGAAAAGGTGCAGGCTTGTGAAGAAGAGAGGAAGAATTCACTTCTCCACATGCCAAGTTTGAGATGTGATTTTGGATTTAAAAGTCGCTGTGTTAGATTTAAACAATCAGATGTGTACAGGTCTGCTGGACCTTAGACAATGTCAGGAACTAGAAAAACACCAACAGATCAGGTATCAGGCTCTGCTTCGCCATGGGGCTGCTGTGTGGTCCTTTGGAACGTTCCCCATAGTGCCTGACCTCTGTCTCTGCCTGCAAAATGACTGCTTTAGTCTAGAAGGAAGCTGTCTGCTCAGCCCTGTGGTTGTGAGACTTGGTGGATTAAGGACTAAAGAGTAAATAAGGTGTCTGTAACCGAGGGCATTTGGGAAACTGCTGAACTATATGTGGGATGTTGGTGATGAGATTCCTTCCTTTCTTCCTGAACTACCCAGCAAGTGCCTGCTGTGTGCTGGGGTCCTGTGCTGCACACGAGGGGATCTGAGGATGGAGAATGTGAAGTTAAGCCCTGAGGGAGGCCCCAGGAAAAGACTCCTGGAGTTGCTGGTTGCTCGGTGCAGAGAAAGCCAAAGGATTGAGGAGGAGCCTGCTGGTCTGGTGTAACATGAGCCAGGCAGCCTGTGTTCTTGACCTGAGGGTGAGAGGAGGCAGTGAACTAGGATGTCAGGGGAGGTAACATGGTATTGCCGGTGAGAGAGATAGCCTCGTTGGGGAAGAGAGTGTTGTGCCACAACCGGGAAGGCATGGGGTGTGAGCCTTGTCTCCTGGTCCCTCTTCAGTCCCTGACTCCGCACTTACCCCTTGCTGGGAGCTTCTTTTAAAGAGTCCGTACTTCTGTAGTCAGTGAAGGGTTTCAAATCTGGTTTTGGAGGTTTCAGTGAGCTGTAATTCACCTCAAGTGGAAATGAA